CTGCTGAAGGTTACCATCCTCAGAGCTCCCTTGGTGAAAGGAGTCACTAGAGAACTCATCACCTGCTCAGGCAAAGCCAGCAAGGTTAGCCTAAACAAACAACAGCATAGTATGAGCAAAACCTACTGATTTCACCCAATGTAGATCAGCGAGAGTTCACATAACCTCTTCAGTGCAGCCTTTGGAGTGGTAACCTCAAGCTAAGTAAGAAAGGCTCAGCAGCTGAGAGTGGTAATGACTCCAGTCAATACAATTAAACCTAGAGAAGAATACATGCCCTCAATTTCATTTAGCACCATTCTAAGCATAGCATTACTCTGTCTTGGGACCCTTTTAACGTGGCAAGAGTTTCCTGAGGTCTCATCCTTCAGGATGGCAGAAGGGGAAGGGTCACTGGTATTACTGATAGTCTTATAAAACCCAACTGTGTGTGAATTCCCCTTTGAATGGACTATGCAGTCATCTTCCAAGACAAGAAAGAGAAAAGGAAAATCCTACAATAATGCTATGAGCAAAATTTTATATAGAGAAAGCTAGAACCTCTTCTGCTTTACAAAGAAAAGAGCCATGCAGGCAAAAAGGGACAGAAACGGAATTTTAAGGCACGGAAACTGACTGTAGCTGAGGAACCACTGCTGTGCCCACCCCACTGTCTATTTCCCTTCCATCTTCCTTCATGAATTTCACTTTGTGTTTTTTCCATGTTACCACATGGTGTGCAGACCGCTAACACAGAGACAATCCCAGTCTGTGAAACGTCTCTCTGGATAAAAAGTCAATGTCTTTCCTGTACCTAGAGCACTCCTTTACAGGGAAGTGGGCAGCGAGCAAGTTGCAACACTGGAAAAACCATGCAATGCACAAAAAGTAGATCAAGCAAGTCACAGTAATCCTAAGATACAACATTTTTAGAATAGTATGGATGATACAAATGGTGTTTACATCATGATACTGTTTTTCTTTAATATACAATAAAACACTTTTCTGTATGCACAAAGAGCAAAGAAAAAAATGGAGCTACACATCAAAAATAAAAGGTTATTGAGTATGACACATTGCCCTTACGATGAATTGTATTATATGCCTTCTCTGAATCTAAAATACTTCCTGTACCACTCAATATCCCATACAGCACAACCTTCAGTATGCAGAGGAGCTCTGTGCCCATCCTGTACTATGTTCTATATATGTTCTGCTAGTACGGCTTAACAGGATTGCTGTAGACAGCTCATTTCACTGTTTGTAATGTTCAAACGGCAGGCTAGCCATGACGGGCACATGAACTTCCACCTGAACATGTTCCCAGTATCACCATTTTCTTCTCTAGGTAAGTTTGAAGGAGTTCTTCAATTAAGATATGACAGTCTCCCCTTAGGGATTTATGTTTTTCTCTCTAGTAGAAAACTCACGCATTCCCATGCTAAAATAGAAGTGCCACAAGGCGATGCATATTTTAGTTTTACATTGTATGTTTTCATAGACCAAACCCTGTTCAAACTGACAACATAGTGCCCACCTTCTCAGTCTGACATTTCAACCCTTCTGCATAGCTCTATGAGATGGGACATCATTGCAAACATACAGGAATTAACTGACTCTCCCATTCCTTCTGCTTTCCAAACCAGAAGATGGAAGTTGTTCATGTTTTTCTAAGACATTTTCCATAACTAATTATTAACTCCATTATTCTGAACACAGAGGATGGGTTTTATTTGCATGATGGCTGAAATATCACTGAAAAGAAGTGCTGCATACTATATACAGCAGGAAAAGGCAAAAATAAGCCTCCAATCCATAATAGTTTAACTAGAACTTTAGAAAGCTTCACCTCAAATCTTCAGTACAACTGTGATTACAGCACAGCTACAACGCAGTATCAAACACCACCTCTTCAATGGCAATTGATAGCAACACCTCATTTTCATCACACCTTTTTTAAACAAACCCAGCTACATGTTCAATGGAGGATGTGCTTAAGATGGGAAGCCTACCTCACACAAAGTGGCCTCTGACTTGTAAAAGTCCAAGAAAAAAACAAAACTCTAAGAAAAAATGTCAAACTGTTAACAGAATAAAGTTTTGTGTATGTGTCAAAAAGCTTAGACTTCAGAATGTCTCCTCTCCCAAAACACACACACTTACACTTTAAAAACATTTCTGTTTTATGACAGTTATAATGATCCTAAATGTAGAAGGTCAGAATCCCCAGACAAATTACAAGCAGAAACATGACAACTGCTCTCTTCCCTGTCCCCCCCGAAATACAGGATTGTATTGATACATGTAAAAGTTGAGAAGAACTGGTGTATATTCTTGCTAACCACAGAAGTATAGGTCATTCCAGGGGGAGCAATAAACCACAAGTAGAAATCTTAGAAAGATGATGCTCTTGTGGTTGAATGAAATATTTTTCCTAACATATAAATTGCACTACTTTGCAGTAATAAAATCACCATAATTCCATCAAGAAGTAGCTTTATAGCACTGTGATTGTGTACATACTGTATGAAAAAATATTGCTTTGTTTTATAATTTGATTTATGCTAATTTTTCTTTATTGGCTTTCTCCTTACTGTACGTAACATCTGCAATGTGGACACAATTTGGCATAAGACAAAAAGAAAAATTCGCAAATACCTCCAAGTATGATAAAACTTATGTTACAGTCACACAGATAGATACTAAATGCAATCAAATAGTGCCTACATGCAGCTGCTCAAAGTATTTTTTTTTTTTACAAAAAAGGAGCTACCCAAGCCATGTCTCTGTAATAAAGCAATCAAATAGTGCCTACATGCAGCTGCTCAAAGTATTTTTTTTTTTTACAAAAAAGGAGCTACCCAAGCCATGTCTGCAGTGTATCAACACTGAAAGCAATGTAATCGGCATTACTAGGTCTCAACATGGGCAAGAACAAATTCTCCATGTTTCTGCACTCCAGCCATTGAGCCCCGGCCCTTGGAGACCCCAAGAAGCACAGGGCAGTATTTCAGCTGACTGCAAGTGTACCGAGTAGCAAAAAAGTTGGCTGCAACAGTGACCGCTCTGGAAGTGGCGAAGCGCAAGCCAGCAGGCACCCTGCCCATGCTGCAGCGAAAGCCCCTGGCCTCCCCAGGAAGAGGCACTGGCACCAGCATCCGCACTGCTCCAGCACCGCCCTGCTGGCTGCTCCTTTACATCTCCGTCCTCAGGGCATGTGAAGCTGATCCCAAATTAGCATTTCTTACAAGCGTTTCATTTCAAAACACAGAGCAAATGGCGTTATTGCAGAAAGGGGTTCAGGACAGGAACTAGAGGTCTCCTCTCATTGTACAAACCACAGAGTTAAGCAAGTGTTCACAGGTAATATGAAAAGACACAGTTTCTCCGTTTCTGCCCTAAATCCACTCTAGCACTGATACCCAGCTATCTCACGCAACCCAGTACGTGCTGCACTGCAGAGGACTCTTCCCCACTGCTGCATTGTGAACAAAAAACTATGGTCAAACTCAAAAGCAAAAAAAATCCAAGGAATGCAGCCCGGCCAAGGGAAGGGTATTTTGTTCTGGCAGAGCCCTGAGTGGAGTGGAGGCGGGAGGAGGAGGGGAGGAGGTGGTGGACAAGGGAGAGAGTGAAAGAAAAGGAAGAGAAGCCAGAGAGGACTGCCAGCATGGTCTGAGCATTTTCTTTAAAATATTTCATAAAGAAAAGAAAATATTATTGAGAAGTTCAAAACATCACAATCCCTACTTTTCTGTCACTCCCTTATCTTCAAGCAACAAGACTGCTCTTCAGCATGAGAAAACAAGCATTCACTGTAGAATAAGGATACAAAGAGGCACAAAAAAACCTAGTTCCTTCAGTGCTCCTCAACTCAAGCGACTAGTGAAGTCAGAACAGTAATTCTCAAGAAAACACCCCTAGACTTTTCCCACTCCAGTTCTTAACTTTGCAATGACAGATTTGCAGTGCAAACAAATCCTGCTTGCTCGTATAAGAAGAAAAACTTTAAAGCATCTACCAATAAGCACCAAAGCATTAGATTTGCTGACTTTAGCATCATGCCTCACCAACATCCAGAGGAAGCAACACACCACTCAGTCCACACCACTCCATGTAACACAAATGCAAACTTAAGAGGCTCTTGTTAAGCACACGCCAACAATGAAGGGGATCGATTTCCAATTAACACACAGAAGCTTTAAGGAAATGCAACAGCTAATCTGAAACCTCCATGCATGCAGAAACACACGCTTTTTCAGATCTTCTTTTGGTGCTTAAAAGATCATTTATCTGTAGGAAAAAAAAAGAAAAGGAAGTCTACTATTTTAGACCATAAAAAAATGGTAGTAACTCTCAGCGGAATGCAAGGAATGTTTGTCTGCTGAAACTGTATATTTGCATCCTATTTTTTGCTAGGAAAACATGACAGATGTTTACAAGATCTGCCAGCTCATATTCCAGACTCACTGCACAAACAGAAAATGGGGCTCTCACTATCATCTTTATGCTTTCCAGACACAGTCTCTCAAGACAGGAAGACATCTTACCCTCAAATTTATTGAGGCCACTACAGGCCCACAAGTAGGTCTCACTTAGTGACCTACTGCTGGGATGCTTGCAAGGAATTAGTTTGACTTAGAAAGTAAATCACCATTATTGCTTCTCTGCTCCCAACCTCTCTTTCAACCTATACTTTGCTAAAAGATGCCCTTCTCCTGAGAATCTTGCAATAATCCTGTAACTCTTTAAAAACTCATAAACTAATTAAAAACACAGGAGCAATTTAACAGAATCACTTACACTTCACCTTGAGAAGAAACAGACCCCCATTCAACTTTCAGTGCAGCTCATCATGAAACATCAAAAAAATTGAGCCATCTTAGTCTCGAGTGGGTAGAGACTGCAATACCTAGCCACTGCACAGCTCAGCACCACTTGTCATCCTGTCTCAAACACAGCTCTGACTGCCTCCGTCTGGCACAGCTCGGCCAAAAAGCCTGGTCACTATTCACATGCCCTGCAGTTTTCACCAACCAGTAGTTTAAGAGTTTCAAGAGCACAGCGCCTTCTCAGCCATAAAAAGAAAATTAAAGAGTGTCCTTGAACAAAATTGAGCCTTTGAAAATGCCAAGAAATAATTCTTTTTTAACATGACCGCCTATTTCACCATTTTATTCTTTGTCCTGTTTCAATATGCTTTATAAACATTTAAATAAAGCAAAGAAGAGACAGACAATCTCATATTATATAGTAGGGAAGAAATGATTCTATAGAGAAAATACAGGATACTTTCCGAAGAGCTGACCCAAATCTAAGAACAGCCAGAAACATACATACATTTGCATGTGCAAGTGTTTACATAAGCACGTATCAAGAATGGAATTCACGTCCAAGTAGCTCCCCTGTCAACTAGACTGGATATTTACCATGCAACATGCACAGGCCCCTAAAGTTACTGCACAGATAAACCTGCAGGGATAGGGCAGAAGGTAAAATTATTATTTGCTTTTCAAAAAATACACATCTGAAATTACCCATCTGTAGTATCAGCTGCTTCTTTATACTAATTTAGGTGATTGTATTTAAAAAGAGAAGCATCCTTTAACTTCACAGCTAGTGTCTGGAAGTGAAAATGTAATTTGCGTTTTCACCAAATTCCCATTAATGCTTCAGGCACACTTTCATTTCTCACTACATGTTCTCAGAGTCATCACCACATAATTCACATAATTTCTGGATGTCACTGTTAAATTCTGCTTTTCAAATAGCAGAGTAAACAAACCCTCAGAACAGCGTTTTTTCCTAGAATTCTTTAAATCGCTCCAATGTCATCAAGTGTCTATACACCAAACATGCAAAATCTGAAAAACATGGTTACATATAGACTGTAGACACCATTCTAACTTATTTCTTGTCTGTGCAAAATAGCATCAAGATGATCCACAAGAAGCAATAAAGGGCCAGATTGTGCTCTTCTGCCACACAGTTGAAGTAGCGTCAAGATCGTGAGGACTCCTCACCAGCTGCAGTCTAGCCAGAGACCAGATGTGGCTCCACGCTGATGATAAGCTCAGTGTGCAGGGGCTGCACCCTCCCACTTCGGCATTTCTGCATACCGGCCACAGAGATGCCTGTTTTGCAGGAGTCAAAAGGAAGAACTATTTGCAAAGCCAGGTACACACATTAGTCTTAATTCAGTTACTGAACTACTTTTTACATTCTTCAAGTTCTTATTCTGCTGATATGGAAATTAAATTATAGTAATAAATAATCAAGTCAATATAGCCAAGTGGCTGCCCCTTTTCTCATCCTCACCGAAGGCATGCAGAAAAGTAACACTTTTACTTAAAACCCCGAGCAATGAAAAAGGAGGTAGGAGCTCTTGCTTCTCTTTGATCTTTTTTTCCTGTACGAAAAGAATAGATCTTCATGTCCTTCTGAAGTCAACATTCCACAGCTTCCCTTATATATTCTCATTTTAGCAGGGTAAAACACAAGAGAGCAATAAAAGTCTCCTAGGAAAAAAATCCCAAGACCTCATATGAAACATATTCCTTTTGAAGGACAGAGACAGAAAGCCTTATGTTAACTCCCCACCCAGTATCACCATTTCCCTACCGTGCACATGGTAAGTAACAAGCATATACATAAAAAACACATACACAAACTATGGGTCTCAACAAAGCCCAGAAAAGTCAGTGGGCATGTCCCTCTCAGTTCCCTGAAGCTTTGGATCAGACGTTTTAATGTAGGCTATTTGATTTCACTATTCAACATTAAGACACACACACATTTTCACACCTTCTTAGCAATTTTTCTCTTGCACCTGGGAGGCTGCTTTTCCTACCTGATCTCTCAGTTGTTGAACAGAAGTCTGAAGGTTGAGAATTTGGTTAAAGAGCGGACTCTGTAGCACTGATTTTAATAAGCTCAGTTTCTCCTCATTTGCAACGTCACCTCGATCCCGAAGTTTTGCCTGTAAGCGCTCCATGGCCTGGAGGGCCCGATGTGTATCTGCAGCAATAATCATTCCTAGTCAATAGCAGTTTAGAAAGAGTCACATACAACAAGTTTAAATGTATCCCTCTCTACTGTTCCAACTACAGACAACTTGAATGGTTCAGTTCTGAACAAAAATCCCAGCCCAAAAACGTCTAATGAATCAGGAAGTCAGAGCAGAGCACAAAACAGAAGCGAACAAAAATTACATTTTTGTCCATCAAGACCTGGGTTACAAAAGTGAAAGAGCCTTCATTAAAATTCAGTTACAGGAACCGTGGCTACAGACCACTGTAAATAAGTAGTGACAAAAATAGCCTTAATAGAAAACATTTGTCTTTTTCATACAAACTTTTTAAATTCTAGTAAAGATTAAAACAATGAAATCAAGACAACAGGCTAAAAATTAAATATACTAAACAAATGATGCTACACCTTTTGTTTTCAAATACAAAATACAAAAACACAAATACATCGTGTATTTTTAAGCACAATAGATATTTTTTACAAAACCTCTCTCAGCAGTATATACTGCTGACCTAATGACCTAAATCTCTCATGCACACTTGATTTGGCCACAAAAATATAGTGATACAAATAAAAAAAGATTACCAATTGTTTCCAACATGTTTTCTGCTTCTCAGCTTCTATTCCAATAATGGTAAGAGGCAGCAAACACACTATTTCCCTGAAAAATAACAGAAAGGGAAAAGGGTCACATTTATAGAAGCACTAAGCTCTGAAGGAGAAGAAAAAAGCTTGACTTCTGAAAACAAGAAACAGCCCCGCAAAATAACAATCCAGAAAAAACGTATCTCCTTGGATAATTAAAATAACCTCAGAGGTGACCATATTCTGAATCACTTTGGAGCTTAAAACCTGCCTGAAAATTGCTTTTAGAAATGTACTTTGTAATATTTTTGCATTTCCATATCAAAGCTGCTGTCTGCATACTGTTACACAACATGGCCTGCATTGCTTTAATCAGAAGCTATGAACCATAGCTGTCACTGATACTTTACACAGTTTCATTGCTTTCCTTTTCAGTGATTCATAAAAAACATTCCCTGCAGGATCAGTTTTCAAGCTCTATGTTGACAATTTCAGGTGCGTAAATCATAGCACATTTTCTAAAGTCACCTTTTAAAAAGAAGTCACACAAGGCACAAAGTCTTCATGATAAACAGGCTTGCAGGACTCTCACACTACAGCCTCCGCTACTAACACCTATTGGAATTGAGACTCAGATCTGGATGATGGTTGGGTTTTCACCAGCATGGGTTTCCAGAAAGGAGATTCTACACTGGGAGGAAGAAATTCTGAAATTGCTTGGTTAATTCTTTTTTTTGTTTGGGGGTTTTTGGTTTGTTTTTTTTTTTTCAACAGTGTGTCTGCAATTGCTGAGAAATTTGTAGTGACAGAATATGTTTGATGGAGATGGATAGCCGAGAAGCGAGGAGTTCAAGTACCATTGCAGGTGTATGAACTGAGCTGTTCATTTTATCGTCTGATCTTTCACAATGGTGCCTTTGTTTTCTTGATAATAGGAAAGCACTTCAGTATAGAATCCTGACTTGAATCTGGTGAGCTTACCAATATGCAGAAAGCTGTGATCTTTAAGCACTCAGGAAAAATTAGGTTTTCTTGAAACTTTGGAGAAAAACAGGGAAAAGAACGGTGTTGACAGATGTCTGGGTAAGACAGCCTAACTAAAATTCAACAGGACCATTAGCTATAGAACCTGAGCAGGACAAGCATGAACCAATCCTCACAATAAAACCAAGAAAAGAGCTGTTAACATAGATAAACTTAGAAGGAACACAAGCCAGGATGAATGTTTTGACAAGCCTATATTATCTGCAGTTTCTGCAGGAAACCCAAATCAAGTGAGTTTAAAACAGTTTCAAGTTCCATCACACACACTTCCCTAGTTTCGATATGCCTGAGGCTTCATATCAGTTTATTTTATTGCATTTGAATTTGCCAGCCACATTGGTATAGAATTGCTGATCATCCTTTTTAGGACAATGTACCACTTACGGACAGACATTCAAATCCTTTGAATCTTACTTTGTTTAAGTAACCTTATTCCATGATCCAAATTATGCATAGCAGTAATAAATAAAAACAGGCCTTTATGAATTTGTTTTCTCGTTTGGCAAGGCAAATCCCAGCACATGATTACTAGATCTGAAAACCAAACCAAGTATCTTGTGTTTTTACCTTGTCACTCTATAAAAACAAGATAAAAAAATGTCTATTTTACATGGGAAGGACTGGATGAGATTATTTAAACATCATGAAGGAAGCTGGCTTCCCCCAATCTTAATCACTCATAGCTTTTCCTTCTAGATTATCAAACTGCTATCACTTCTTCTATTCAGAGCCCCTATTTACAAGTAGAGGCATTTATGTGATGTTCACAGGTGTTTTTCTCAGTGGCAATGCCAACCAAAGCAGTTCTTTCCTGTTTCACGGTTCCAGTTCTTTCTCTACAGCTACTCTTGGGGCAGTGCTGTGGATGCAACCAGAGAACTGTGCAGAAAAAAAAAAAAAGATGTGAAGTATTTTTCAGTCATTTCAGTGCCATGATCCTCTTTATCACAGTACTATATGCACAGCATATAGTACATAGCATCCTATGTTCAATTCTGATCTTATGAAGAAACTAATCAGGAAAAATACAGGGTTGCTGTTCTTCAGCTTTAGCTCCCTGAGAACCTCAGGAGACCCTCAAGAGATGCAGCAGTAAAAGTCCGTGCCTTTTGGAGTAGCTGGATATTGCTTTATATTATGATTCAACTTGTCTAAAATCTCATCATTGGTGTGCTGTGAAAGGCATGTTTTACAAATGACAGAATGGACAAGGTCACCACTGTATTTGTGCAATCCCAGAGGTACGAACTCTGATGATTTATAATGGAACTTTCTAAAAGCAGACACAAGTCCTAAACATACTCTATAGATGGAAATGATCCTATCCAACTTGCAATGAAAAGTCCTTAGCTCTGCTAAGACACTCAGGATATTCTTTCTATTTACCTCACGCTTTAGAGGTAGGAATACTGCTCCAGAGCTATCTTAGCATCAGCAAACCCATTTTTAACTCCCAGTTCAATTCTCCTTATTTTGTGTTTGTATTAGTGGGGAATCCCTCCTCAGCTGACCAGCTTAATGCTTTTGACAATTGCAGCACTAAGCAGGAACTAGACCGAAACTGCTGTCAGGATATTTTCCTTCGGGACGCTTCCTCTGACGCAGAAGCAATGCATTGAGGCACAGCAGCAGTTCTGCATGTTGCAGTCCAAGATGACCCCGTTCGCTCTGCCCGCGCTCTGAAATGGCGAAAAGCCACGTGACTGTGCTCCTGCTGTGCCACATCCATGCTAACAAGTGGGATCTGTCAGCACCAGCTTAGTGGCACCTTAACATAGCCGAAGCACAGGGGAAGCAAGCACACGTCTGTCCAAAACGCACCACAGAGACATGCCCGTAACCACCACCCGCTACAGCTGCAACACCTGGCCTTTAAACCAGCTTGCTTCTAGGTATTTTAACAATAATGCTCTGGGGAGAAGTATGGAGGCATGCATGATTATTTGTTGAAAGGCGTAAGTCATTTGCTATAGTGAGTATTTTTATAATGCCATCACAGACTTCTGGATGCACAAATGGGAAGTTTAGTTACGATTCTGTCATTTTGTGTACTCCTGGCAGTCTGTATCACAGGAGTCTGAAGCCAAAACCAGCCCTTCTATACATGATACAAATACTGTTCATGCCTCAAAGAGCTTACTAGCTTAGCTCAAAGTAGATTTAACTATTTTTGTATTTCAGTGCTAAAGTTCATTAATCTCTTCACAGTAATAAGAACACAGACTGACTTAGACATTTTTTATTAGCAACTTAAAGAAATAAATATCAAGTTAAATTCACTTTCAAGTTTTTAAAGGCACAGGTACCTGGAAGACGTGGCTTTAAAAAAAAAAAAAAAAACAAACACACCTTCTCTTTTTCCTCCTGTTTTTTAACAGCAAAGCAGAAAACACAAGTAATTTTAGACAGGTACATGGTGAGAAACACGCCGTCTTCTACTAAGCATGCACAGAAGTTAAAGATGATCCCTTTCAAACTTGCACTTCTGAAATTTTATTCTTCCCATGCTAACAATCAAAAACGTGTTACATACACATTTGTCCACTCTTTATGCTGCCCTTCTTCTGTAAGGTCAGTTGCCAGAAAACAGTTGGCATACTGCAGCTCTGGTTTCTTTGTGCCCACTCCTAAAACACTAAAATCCACAGGTGTCAGAATTTTAAAAAACAGACCTGAAATTTATGTTGATCACCTCTTTTGCCCTGCAACCATGCAAGCCACTTAGCTAAACAGCCAAAAGATTCATGAAAAGGGAAAGATGATCCACTTCCAATGATTACTCTTTCACACCTGATCATGTAGTTCCTACAAGGAAACTTACTGTGTTTCACTGATGGATACTCCATCTACTATTTCACAAGGCCACTTCAGATAATACCCTGGAAACTAATGCTCATAGCACTGGATTAGCAAACATGCAATGCTAAAGATGGAAAACACAGTAATAGGCTTTGCCCTGTACCTCCTGCATTATTTGAAGTGCTCTGAGGATACACAGGAAATGCCTATCTTAAGAGTGATCTCTAGGCCCAAACTTTGGCTAGGAGTTGCTAGAGATTAAAACTAAATCTATTTCAATTAAGCAGCACAGTAAGCACAGCATGCCTTTTACAGCTGCTAAAAAGAGCATTTCAAAACTTCTAATTTAAATTTCAACACCTGGGCCTGGATTTGGCTCGCCCTTCGTACTTTATTTTTATCCCATGTCATTCCCCTACCCTACTTTCTGGCTATCACTCAAACAGGCACGTTGTGTTAGGAACGCGTGGCAGGGGAACAGAAACCAAACCACACAGGAAGTGGAAGAGACTAATTACTGCTCAACCTTCTGCTTTGCCTGCAATTTCCAGGAGCTCTTCCATTTCGCCCAGTTACCTCCCGCACGCTGGCTACCATCACTGGGAAGAAAATTAAGGTGATCCCCAGACTCCCTGCAGGGAGCCTTGTCAATATAAAGGCAGCTGAAACCAATCACAGTAAACTGAAAGATCTCATGTTTTTCTATGTATTCTTCCACTGTCACAAAGGCAATTTTGCTGTTGCATACAGCACTTTCTAGGATTACAAGCAATATTACAAAGACTTGACAACTGTAGCCTGACCGTATAGCCTTCACTACTCACAATGAAAGAGATACACATACTTGGGCATGCAGCGAAAGGATGTGGAAGTAAATGCGGGAAAGCAGTGACCAACAGGGTAAGGAGGATAAACAAAAACAAAAAGTGGAAAGGAAGAAAGGAAGGAAAAAAAGGCTAGCCTACGGTTTTACTGACAGGACACGAGCCTGCCAAATTAACATCAAGCACTTGGTTTCATCAGCCAAGAGACCCTGGACTGCACACTTCTGGATGACAGAAGGGAGAACCAATTCAAATTAAGGATTTAATACAAGCAAAATTAATGTGCACTGTTCCACAAGGAACAAAGCAGATTTCCACTGACTACCTGGAATGTAACAGGCAAGCATGA